ATATATGTATATATAGCGCTTTTTAGCACCTTTTAAGACACCCAATGACACTTCACAACATTAAAAACACAAAATAAAACAATACAAAACGGCTTTAAAAACACGAAACCAAGAAGAAAATAACAAGAAATTAAAGTGAGAAGGCTAACTTGAACAGATGAGTTTTGAGCTGTGATATGAAGGTCTGAAGGGAGTCAGTATTATGGATGTCTGGGGGAAGAGTGTTCCAGAGTTGGGGAGCAGAGTGAGAAAAGGCTCTGTGTCCCATGGTGCTGAGGAGGACGAGAGGCTCGTTGAGGTGGATGGAAGAGGAAGAACGAAGACAGCGCGAATGGGTGATGATGTGCAGGAGATCGGACAGATAGGGAGGGGCGAGGTTATGGATTGCCTTGAATGTGTACAACAGGATTTTAAATTGACTTCTGAAAGTGACTGGAAGCCAGTGAAGTTGCTGTAAAACTGGGGTGATGTGGTGAAATGAGGGGGTTTTGGTAACGATGCAGGCAGCTGAATTTTGAACCATTTGAAGCTTACGGAGTAATTTTTGCTGCAGACCAAAAAGAAGAGTTGCAGTAATCAATTTAAGAAATGACCAAACTATGGACCAGGATGGAAGCAGAGTGTGGGGAGAGGGATGGACGGTGACGGTTGATGTTTCGAAGGTGGAAATATGCATAACGGGTAATATTATTGATGTGAGAGTGAAAAGAGAGAGTGCTGTCAAGAATGACACCCAGACTCTTAACGTGAGGGGAGGGAGAAACCATGGAGCTGTCAATGGTGAGGGAAAAACTGTTAACTTTAGATATGGTGGATTTAGTGCCGATGAGTAGAAACTCTGTTTTATCACTGTTTAATTTAAGGAAGTTAGATGTAAACCAGGATTTTATTTTAGCTAAGCAGGAAGTGAGGGAGGAAGGAGGAAGTGAAGAATTAGGTGCAGTAGATAAGAAGAGCTGGGTGTCATCGGCAAAACAATGGAAGTGAATGTTAAATTTACGGAAGATATTGCCAAGTGAGAGAAGGTAGATGATGAAAAGAAGGAGCCCCAGGACAGAGCGGTGCCGAGCTGCTTGTTTTGATATAACATTTGTGGGGTACACATTAAAGTTGACAGAAGAGCAAGACCCTTTTCAGGCGGATAATTTTATTTTATTTTTAAATTTAACCTTTAGTCTCATAATAATAGGTGGTTGCCTTTCTAGGAAGTCCCCAATTAAAAACAAGTCTGAGCTAGATGGCAGTGTCATCGGTCCAGTTATAGGTTTAACTCAAGACTCAGCTCTAGGGTTCAAACTACGACCAATACAAAACTAAAACAAGCTGCATACGGCTGTTTATTTTAGGGCCTGCTTTAGAGCTTATCGTCTAAACAGGATCATCACGAGCACGAGCTCGATGGTGGGCCTACAGCCGGACTGTAGAGGCAGAGGTGGAGTGGAGAGTAAGATCCAGACTGAGTGGCACCAGTCACCCTCTCCAATCTGCCTTCACACAACACAGGAGCACATTCGCCCTCTATCGGTGGAGCAGGGCAGGGTAATGAAGGGAGGACAGAGGAGGAGAGAGAGGTCCAATAACAGGTGTTTTTAATTCAGTGTTTGTTTTCTGTCACTGAGCACCTTACTACACAACCATTCACACCTTTATTGTAAATATCGAGTTTTTATAGTGCAATACCCACTAAATAAACTCAGTGCAATAACGACCGTCTAACTCTTGTTTCTCAGTTGTTTAATAAAATTTTTAAACCTCCTTGCATTTTGGTTGTATATAATTGTCTAAACTGAATTTATTTTCACTCATCTTTTATGGTATACCTATTGTTTTCTTATAATTGTGTGATTTGAAGCAGCTGGCAACTTCAGAATTTCCTTCAGGACAATAAAGTCTTATTGTATCTTAGTCTGTCCCTTCTCAGCCACTGTAATAACATAACAAAACAGCTTCTTGTTTAAATAAACTTTTCAGAAAAAAAGTTTAAACTTAAACTTTAAATATACAGTAATACATTTTGTCACTCTTAGGCGAAACCCCCATATTTCCAATTATCACAACTTTCATGTTTTTTGTTTAAATCAACTCTAATGGTCGCCCTTCACTATAGTCTGTGGCTTTTATGAAAGACTGTACAATGAGAAGTATCACAAAGAGCTTGTGACTTAACCTTGATACAAAATTGTATAAAGATAAAACTATGAAAGAACCAACAAAGTCCATGCTCAATAATCCAGGTATATAATCCAACAATTTTCAGTCAGGTCATCTGGACAGTTTTTTTTTTTTTTTTTTGTGCTGGCTTCATCAGTCAAGGAAACACACAAAACTGATTCTTCCCCCAACAGCTTACTCCAAAGTGGAACAAACTAGTTATGTTGGTGCTAAGATGGTGTCTTTGGCACGCCCCCTCCTCCGGTGCTGGCCCTCTCCCTTGTCGACAGTCATGTCAAACTGGTTGAGTGCTACTGTTGTTTTTCTTCTATTTGATTTCACCAAATGTTTAAGTGATCGCCGATCACCATCATTTAGGATATTTTTCTGGCCACATTTCTTCCTCGAGGACGATGGGTCCCCACTATCCTTCCAGTTTTTAATAATGCGTTGGACAGTTCTTAACCCAGTTTTAGTAGTTGCTGCAATCTCCTTAGATGTTCTCTCTGCTTGATGCCAATGATTTGACCCTTCTCAAACAGACTGACATCTTTTCCACGACCACGTCATGTGTCTTTCAACATGGTTGTTTAAGAAATGAGAAGCAACTCATTGCACCAGTTGGGGTTAAATAACTTGTTGCATCTGAAAGATAATCATCCATACAGTAATTATAGGAGGCTCGTACCTATTTGTTTAGTTAAATCCAAGTGGCGACTTTTTGTTTGACCAGGCGCTGTATATTAATGAATTATATATGATGTACCAAAGTTCATGCTCATTAATCCAGGTATAAAATCCAACAATGTTCAGTCAGGTCATCTGGACCATTTCTTTTTTGTGCCAAGATGTTTCATCTGCCATCCAATGAACTTCTTCAATCTGAGGAACCACCAAACATAACTGATTCTCTGGGTCCATCAGTTGGATGACGGATGAAACGTCTCAGCACAAAAAAAAAAAAAACAACAAAAGTCCAGATGACCTGAATGAACATTATTGAATTTTATACCTGGATTATTGAGCATGAACTTTGGTGTTTTGAACCAATTTGGCATGACTGTCTCAGAATAGTTGACGAGGGAGAGGGCGTACCCCAGAGGCCATCTTAGCACCAGCAAACTGTTTTTTTTCCCCACTACGGAGTATGCAGTTGGAGGAGAATCAGTTTTGTTTGGTGGTTCCTCAGATTAAAGAAGTCCGTTGGATGACGGATGAAGCATCTCAGCACAAAAAAATGAAACTGTCCAGACGACCTGACTGAACATTCTTATATATGATGTAGTTTCACACTGAGTTCTTGTACAGTCACATCTTCACACAATGAGCAGTGAGCTATCAGAGTGAAGCTCAGCCCAAAACACCTTCATCTTAATATATACTGTATGT